CAATCTATTAGAATTTGAAGTAATCAAAATTCCTGCCTCAAATGAATTTTGAAAGTTACTTGAAGCCCAGACAGAAAGTTGGAAAGAAAGTTACTTGGGGAATGCTAGTTCCAGAATTAATGAAACTTTGTTTCAAATTGAATGAGTCGATTACAAACGTTTAATATTTAATTTTAAAGTTTATACCAGTTCATTTAAAAAAGCATTACATCAAACAGATCATAATTTTTTTTTACCTCGGATTGATATGGTTGCCTCTCTCAAAATTCGTTATTACAAATTTTTGAACTAAGAATTGGTTAAAAAATGGGCCACATAATTTTTTCGTGTCAATTTTTTTTTGTCAAGTTGCTGGCAGTAATCTCCTGCTATTCATAAATTGATCGTTTTTTAATCAACTGTAAAATATTTGTGACTTTTTTTTGAAAATATTCGTTACAAGATGCTATAAATTGGAGTTTGCTATCTCATTTCGTCATAAATTGCTATAGAAATTGAAGCGCGGTAGCAAAAATTATTGTTTTGCTCTGACACGATCAATCATGTTGTTTTCACTTTTGAAAAAAAAGACGGAAAGTTTGAGCTCGTCGTGGTAATTTTCTTCCGACAAGTTTTGACTTTTCACCAGCCCTATACAACGGTCTTTGATGTTCATGAAGCGATGACATCAACAGAAAATTACAAATTGAAAAAAATCAAAGCGTTAACAGCTAACTAATTCATTTCAGATATAATTGAAGTATTGTTGTAATAGTCTAGCAATTGTATAAAAATACACAAAATCAAATAAAATCAAAAACTGCCAAGATGGAAAATTTACTTTTTCATTTTAGTCCGTGTTTTTTGGACCCATTGGCTTTCCTCAATTCTAATCGAATTGATTTCAGAGACGGGTTATTTGCCACGTATAACACACGTTAAAATCAAACTGGTAAATTAATTGTTCCGATTTTCGATAAAAACGAAATATTTGTTTGGTAGGGTTTTTTACTCAGTCAGTCTTTTGCGGTCAAAAAAAAAATAGTTTTTGAGGACAAATTTTCATACTCCAGTGAAAATATTGACCATCTAAAATCAAATAAAAAAATTATTCACATCCGATTGTTCTGGCAAAAAATTTGAAAGTTTCAAATTTCGCCATAATTTGGGCTAATTTATGCTATTAAATTGACGCTAGCTAATCGGTCGTATAATTTTCGTGCGACTCAAATGTCTCGCGACTCAATTTTCGTGCGACCTCTGAATTTGTCCAAAATTTATAGTTGTTCCATATTTGCTTTTCCAAAAAAAAGCTATTTGATATGGATTAAGAGGCAGTCGGAACATTAAGGGCTTTGCCCTGATATACGAGCGGTCTTGATGTCTCAAAGCGCCGTAACTTTGCAGCAAACATTGATCGCAGTTTAAATATTTGGTGAGAGAGTTGCACCAAATTTTTCCAGCCTCTTTTAGAAATCATTGTCAAAATTGGCAAGTTAACAGTTGATAATTGTCTCGAGGAAAAAACTACTCTGAGCAGAAAAATTTTGAAAATCTTGGAAAACCGTAGAAATTAGGTTTTGCCAGCAAATACCCTCTAAATTTTTTCCCCTTAAAAAATTGCAGATTGGCTCCTGAATGGTTAGTCGAATTATTTACGCGACATTCTTTGAACTAATTGGAAATAAATTGTCACTCAATCATAGAATTATTTTCTCAGAAACGCTGAAAATTGTTTCAATTTAGACGTTACAGAAAAAAATTATCCATGATCAGATGGGCTCATTGTATGAAACGGCAAGTAACTGGTCTAATTTTGAGAAGTGATTACTCGTGAAATCTATCATTTCTTTTATATTGAAAAAGTACATGACTTATCCTCAAAAAGGTCGATAGTTTTTGATTGTTTCCTGTTTCTTTCAAAACTCATTCACACAGAAACCCAAAACAATACCAAAGCCAAAGTCCAATTTCAAACTTTTTGAACCGTAACATTATAACTATACAACTAAACAAACGATTCTTGATTTGGAAGCAAGCGCCGGGATAAGTTGAATTAATCTGGAAAAACGTGCAGTCATACGCATCAAGGAGTTGAAGTATAAATTATAAGAAATTTTATTTAATTTTCGGTCTCTTGTTTAAAAACAAAAGTTCTTCACATTGATTTAATTAACCGCTTCTTCTTATTTTTGTTTTATTTTCTAAATCAGGGAAATAAATTCCCAGAGCCATTCAATTTCTCAATGCCAGTCTAAATAAAAACACATGCTTTCAAATGAAGACGAAATTAAAGGTTGTGTTTAAATTCGGGGCTATATGAATTCAATTTCGCGTGTGATAAACTTAATTTGGCTGAAAATTTAAACACGATTCTGGGCTCCGCGAAGAAAGACAGTTTTTATCGGTGTGTTTGATTTCATTGTATGTTGCACGGGTATTTGGGCTTGATCGGAAACTTACTTAACGCTTACTTAAATCCCACCTTAAGCTTTTGATCGAAAGGTTCAATCTACCTTTGATTGGTATCAAATGTTCTGAAATAAACTAAAAGGACGCATAACATGGAGGTATTTTAAGTACAACCAAAAACACGGTAATAGATACATTGACCTGAAGTTTGTCCTGAAAACATTCCATGACTCTGTTTGCGCAGAAAAAACTCTGATGGTTAAGAGTTAGATTATCATGAAACTTTAATACTGAAACGTTCTGTCGACAAAAAATTTAATTGTAGCAATGGTGCAACTTATATATTGCGAAATTCGGAACAAAATATTTAACCTGAAAGTGGGTCATTTTGGTTTTTTAGTTTATCAAAAATTACGATTAACTTCTTACTTAAGGTTTAACGGATACTTATAGTACAGAAGCCAAAAAAATTCTGGAATGGTAAGTTCTCCTATGCGCAAAATTAAATTGAAATTTTGAATTAAGTTTTAGAAAATGCCATTTTTGGCGGATTCGCATTTTTTGGCCGAACTTGCAAAACAAATTGCATCCTGATATTTCCTTCACTTTTTGTCTGAGCAGTTTGAGGAAAACGCGTTTGAAGATTCAAATTTTGTTCGCTTTTTACTGTACATTTTAAATCAGAACTGCTTAAATGTGCTTTTTGTGAAGGTACTAAAACTGCAGCATGAAGTCGCAAAAGGATGTAAAAAATATACTAGAAGTCTCGCCAGATCCCGAGAATGAATAATCGTGGCGCAAAGTTGCGGATATTATAGAAAGTAGCCAAGCAGCAAAAAATTGTGCCAGGTTGTATCATGCATTTTAGCACATATGAGATTTATGGTTTCTGCAATTCGCAAAAGTTCTATGAAAGGTTCTTACGCCTGTCTTAGCATAGTCAACTTTTCCTAATTCTCTACACTCTAGAATAAATTATTGTTCCGACTTTCGTCACGAAAACAACGGAATATTTGTGCTCGGGGTTTTTTTCTTCAGACAAATTTCGACTTTTTAACAAGCCATTTTTGGCGGATGTTTTTTAAATCTTTCGATTGTTGTTCTCGACAATCAGACAATTTTTCATTTTTATTGAAAACCGATCAAAAAATGTTAAAAGTGATGCTCACCCAGTTACTAACATGCAATCATTGGGATATATGATTTTACGCGTGAGAAAACGCCCAAACATACGCAATAGTTCCCGGATTGCGGCCCCTACAAGCAACAAGCCTATCATACAATTTCAATTTTGGAGTCAATGGAAAAATGCTTATAATTACCGTGGAAGTAAATTGTATGATAAGGACTTTCCATCAAAAATTGATTATTGAAAATCATTAATATAAAGTTGTGGCACCTTTGCTACATGAGAGCAACTGTGGCACCGAGAAAAAAATGTGATCAAAAAATTTTTATTAGACAATTTTCATATATAAGAACTAAATACTATGCATTTTCCAAAAAAAATACAAAAATTTATCGCAAACTACTTCTGTGTTCACTTATGACTTTTTTACAAGATATATCCAAAAAACAGAAACAAACGTTTTGTTTAACAGGTGTAGAGCTTTTTTAAATATTTTGAGATACAAAGGATATTTTTCAACCACTGAATTGAAAGCTTGTAGCCAGATACAAAAAGTTATGTTTCTGGCATAAAACTTTGTTTTAAAGTCAAAACAATAGTTACGAGTCAAATCACCAAACACAGTTTATCAATTAAACTCTGATTATTGGTTCGAACAAAACACAAAATATCAAAACAGACTCAGAAGTTTTTTGTATTCCCTTTTAGGGAAAAAAGTTTATCATACAATTTCATGATAAAGAATTTTTTTTGACTATTTTCATACAATTTTTGTTTTAAAAGCTTGATATTCATTTGTGAGTGTGAAATGACGACTTATGATTAAGCATCATTGTATAAAAAAAATAATTATTATGCTGTTTCCAAACAATTTTTAAAATGATATTGTATGAAATTGAATTACAAGCATTTTTATTTTTGTGAATTTGGAAGTAAGCAATTTTTTAAAGCCCGGGTTCCCAACCCTAGGTTGATGGGTCGGAACAATAAAATTTTGTTCGCTTGTTAATCGATCATAAGAGCAGAGCGAACATTAGAAATAGATAAATCCAACAAACAACAAACAAGGCTAGATTTTAAAAGCTGTTTTATAATCTCAATTGCTGTTAGAACAGTAAAACTATATATTTGCTACATTTCTTGCAAACACTCAATTTAGGTCAGATGGTTTGAAGTTATGCTTCAAAAGGTCGCTTGGATCAATTAATCAATCACTCAATCTCACAATTTTGTTGCTTTTTCGAAATTTGTTTCTTTTCTTTCTTGAATTTATTGTCCTATTTACATCCCTGAAAATGTCAACTGCTGAATGAATTTTATGAAAAGGCAAACAAAAACTGTGGAATAAGATAGACAAGTTGGTGAAGAAATCTTTGATGCAGTTTTTTCATTGTTTATTCATGCCACCTGAATTATAAATAAAATTGAACCTTTTTGACTTCAGGTATTTCCTTTGTTTATTGTTACTTGTTTGTTTTAGGTCGACCGATGAGCCCACCGTTAGTCCGGGAGATGTGAATGGGTACTTCTTGGACAGTCTGTTGGTCAACTATGATGGTCGAGTTAGACCCAATTTTGGAAGTCAGTAGTTTACTTGTTCAATCCCAATAGAAAAATCCGCGCATGCATGAGATACTATACCGTTCATTGATATATAAATAAATATTCTATATATTCTATTTATCAGTCCAGCAACATTTTTACGTGAAGTTTTATCTGCCCTATTAATTTTGTCGGGTCAAACAGATCTAAAGACAGGCAGTTAGCCATGCAGCAATCGAAGTTTAGTCAAAGAATTAACCGTGAAGTTCCTTCAATTTTGCACAACTTCACGCATAATGATTTGATGTAATTTTTCTGTCATATGGGTATTATGCCAAAATAATAACCCGCCAAGTTCGAGTCCATAAGCGTTCACCTTTTGATAGCTTATGATTTAGTAATCAAAGTGATTTTTTTTGGTCCATTGCTCTGCATTCTTTGGAGCGTTATCAAAAAATTTATCAACAATATCTGTGATCACGATAACATGTCTATAGATTCTTTTATGTGTTCTCAGAACATGTAATCAACATATGAAAGCTTAAATAACACAAGCAACAAAAGAAAATCGCATTCAAAACGACCCCGTCTGACATGATTTTTAAATACTAACTCGATCGGAAGTCGATATCGAGTTAGGGTTAAAAAGCATGAACAAATAAATGTTCTATTTCGCGTGTTTGAGTCGGTATTTTGAAATAGCAACTCTTTTACTTTGATATCATTTGAAGTTATAATTTGTAGCCTAGACTTAACGGTCTCACCAGTCCGTGGTTTATGTCTTCTTTTATCCTTTGCCGGGACAATTTCATGTTTCAATGGGCACAATCTTGGAATGGTAAAAAACAGGACGCCGGCATGCCAGTGACTCTAAATATTGACTCTGAAGTTATTTCTAAATATTGAACCAAAAGGTTACACAAACAATTTAAATAAAAACAGAAACTTACCATGTGAATGTCAACCCGACTAACATAAACAATTACGAGGAGTTTCATGGACCCTGTGGCCCGGACCAGGTCTAAGAATTTGCGAAGGGGTTCGAAATCTCATATAACTGAAGATTCGGCTCTATTTTAAGCCCAATAATGAGCAGTTTGAATTTTCTCAATGCTGTTAAAAAGAACTTACGTAACCAAAAGGCTGCTCGTGTCAGGACGAAGACCCGACTTTTCGGCTGGCGTAGTGTTCGATTTCACTAATAGAAAAATAAAAACAGATAAAACTTTGAGGAAAATTTTTTTTTTTGAAAATAAACTTCTCAAGTCCTCACGCTATTTAAAGTACAGAGAGATATTTTTAGCATGGAATAACTTATTCGTAAGAAAAAGACTGCTCAAAGCAAGGCAAAGCCCTCAGTTTTTTAAATGTTTTTTAAGGTAGATGGAGGAGTGCTGTCTTATGTAAGCACTTCATATGATGAACAGTTTAAGTTTGATTGAGTTTGAGTTTGATGGGATTCTGAATTGAGTAAATTAGTACCTGCCATCTTTCGATCTGAAATAGATAAAATTGTTATGATTTGAAATACAGTCGGAGATATTAACATTCTGAATGAAGCACCAATTTTTCACATGGCGCAACCAACAGCATAAGGCGCGGGAACGGTTGAAAACCACTTGGAATCACGGCGTTTCGGCAAAGTAAGTGCACGGAGAAAAAGATGTTATGGGAGCACTGGATTACTTGTTTTACCATGGAAGTAATACCGAAGCGAGGATTCAATCCGACCGATTTTTATTTCGAAAGGATGCTGACAGCGACGCAAATTGCGGCGCCGCCGAATGTGCATGGGAAAAACGGCGTAGAGGTGGAGCAAACTCTCATTTCCAATTTATATCTGTGCCTGGGGGCTTGATTAACTCCAAAATCGGAAAACCCACCTGGACTTGGCAACTACTAGATACCCAAGAGTACTTGACGAGTTTTGATGCTATTTTCAAGAAGAAAAGGAATGAATCGTTCGAAACAAACCAATTATTGTCAAGGAAACAGAGGGACGGTGAAACGTTGGAATTGTTTCACTCCGTACTCAGCGGCTCGCGGCGTGGTGCGACCTGGAGTCGGTGGAACGTATAATATTATGTTACGTATTCATCTTGAATATGTCAAAAAAAGAAGCGCAGACCGAGCTCTGCCGATCTACCAAACTCCAGACGAGATTTATCGAATCGCGCTATGATATGAACGAGAGGACAAGTACGACAAGACTTACAAAATTTTCATTGAAGGGTTAGCTTTAGACCAAAACGGAGCCAGTGAGCTCAATCCGAGGTGGATATTGCCGACCCTTCCGACGGGGTGGACGAAGCCCACTCAGGGTAGGAAACAGTGGTGAACCGGATCGTAAATGTTTCAATTGCGACCAGAGTGGGTTTATATTGGACCACATTGCGAGCTACTCGCAATTTTTGTAAAAAAAAAAGGGACCATATAAGCGCTTATGTCGAGGCCGAAAAGCCGCTGGAAGAGGATGCGTGGGCCTTATTCACGAGGATGGCACCGAGGAAGAGACTTACCAGGATCAGGACGAGAGCACATCGCAATACGGAAGCTCCGTCGGATGGATAAACGATCCAAACGAAGTAGCCCACGTATGAGATTCGGATTTTTCAAACAGTTACTTTGTTATAATGATCAAGCGGATAAAAGAGGAGGAACTGGAAGTAGCGGGTGCAAAACTAGCGCTTAAAGTTAATGGACATTCAACTCAACCCTAGGTTGATAGCGGATCGCCGATATCAATCTTTACAATTGGAGATTTTAAACGTACCTTGGGGAAGCAGAGTGTGCAGCTTCAGCCGATAGATCCAAAGAACGACCAATTCTGATATTATGGAACAGTCCCTTTAAATTGATAGGGAAAATGACCGCGGTTCTTTTTTCCAACGGATGGACGACCCGGGCGACAATCATTGAGATCGAGGCTGTCGCCCAGCAATCATGGGTAGAGATCTGATGCCGGCACTGGGACTGAAGCTGATTCAAGCGCCAGCGGAGGAAAGAGTTTTAAAGATCCAGGGGCAACTGGATACCGATGCACAGGGAGATGATCTTGATGACTGGGAGAAACTTTTCAGTAAAAAAATTAATAATCTTTTCATAGGGTAGGACGCATTTGTAAATATAAAGTTCATGCTGAATTTCTGAAAAATTTATCGCCTTAAAAATTTATCACACTGCAAGGTAAAGTAGATGAAGAGATCAATACTCACGGGCACATCGATAAACTGGAAGAGTGCTCGGACAAATACTTCCTCTCACTGATTGTCATCAGAGACGAATCTCTTAAGCTAGCACTGGAATTAAGGAAATTAAACAAGCAGGTTCAAAAAATAAGTGATAAATGCCGAAAATTGAAGAATTAATGGACATCGTGGGGCAAACAATAAGTGAACGCAAAATGGGGATGTTTTTTCACAATGATGGAATTTTCGTATGCGTGCGGACACTGTAAATTTTTGTTGGTGGGGGACAATTCTACCGTAGCATACAGTTTTAAGACGAGATTTTTTTGATTAACGACGATATCTGCTAAATTCCAACGGTCATGGACGCAATACTTTCGGAGTTTTCCTGTGCGAACGCTTTCAGTGATGAAATCTTAATTATATCTAAAAGTTGCGAAATTGAGCACATCGCGTTGGTGGCGTGCAAATTTGCAAGGAAAGAATGTGAGTGTTTGGGACACCGTATAAAAAATTCTGGCATCACCCTCCTAGTAAGAAAAACCGACCCCATTGATAAGTTAGATCTCTAAGTCTTTGTCGCAGTTATAATCCTTCGTGGTATCAAAGCATAAATTTTTGCCGGCGCTAGCGGAGTTTTCGACGCTGTTTAGTGCAGGTAGAAACCTAAAGCCAATATGCGCCAAAGTTGACATCGGAAAAAAATAAAAACCAAGAGAACCGAAAGAATGCCTACAATTGGACTTTTGGAGCCCAATCACGTGTCAAACGAATCAGACAAATACAACTTTGATTCGGCCAAGATATGCAGCAAAAATGACAGAAATGACAAAAATGACAGAAGTCTAAAATCTCTAAAACACTACATATCCCATCATGGCGTGCCAAGCAGAACTTACATGGACCAAAGGTCCAAGTTCAAATCAAAACCAATGAAAATCGTTGTGCAATAACCAAGAAATTGAAATTATAAACTCGCCATTGAACTATCATAGAGCCACGGGATGGGTAGATTGCATTGTAGGTAGTTTGATGAACTTTGTTTTAACTTGTGCAAACGAAAAGGTCCATGGGATCCTAGAATCAATGCTAGAACGCATAATTAGGGCTCTCAAATTTGCACCTACCGCTGCCTTAAAAATCATGCCATTCAAGGCATATCATGGTTGGAAAACCAATACAGTCCTAAGGAACCTTTTGAAAAAACCATCGCTCCAAAACCTTAACTGGGACAAAGTGTTACGACAAAAATCTGCATGTTAGGATAATAAAAACCCGCACGCCGATTGCATATTCCATTTGACACAAACCAACTGGAAACAAAAAAGGTCGGACAATGAATATGAGGCGGAGCAAATAAACCACCCGCGGAGGTTAGCGGATAGTCTGTTGGTCACTAGGCATGGAGACACACAAGACGCCAAGTGCGCGAGCGAATCCAGCGGCTTCAAGGGTACTAAGTCTTTTAACATTGGAGGCGAGTCGAGCCGACATAGCAAACAACCAGAAGTATTGTTTTGAAGGATTAACGACTGCAACCAGAGGCATAAGTTGTTCAATAGGAAAGTTATTAAGGAGTCTAAATAGACCATGATTCCAGAAAAGGGGTCTGTGCTTAGAAAAAGTGGCGTTGCGGAAAAACTACTCGGGCGTTGAAATTGTCGCCTACGGGGAAATACCTAAAACCATCGACGGTCGAGGACATCAGGCGAAAGCTGGCTAAAGATCGCCCCTCTAGATCGAGGGACACAGTGACCAAAATTAAAAGCCAGCCACGGTCCAAATCGCACCGCTAGGGACGACGACGATTAGGATTCGACCTCCGAGTACGAACCGTTACAATTTCCCGGC